AAAAGAGCAGAAAACACGACACGACACGACACAACACAACAACAAAAATAGAAAATTAGATAAGAATTTGAATTAAAAAAGATAAAAAGAAGAAGAAGAAGGGGAAGCATGACAAGAAAAGGAAATAAATGAATGAAATAAAAAATTAAACTTTGAAAAAAAATTCAATTATATCATTTTTTCCTCCTCTCTAGGTATTTTGGGATAGGTAATTTAGGACACAGGTCGCATAAGGTATTTCATAACGAACACCAGTGTAACAAGTTCTGCAAGTTTCTTCATCTACCACGTGAGTACCTCCGTCATGACAATTATTCAAGGGATGAATTATTAGGATCTGGAGTGTACATCAGGATACAATTAAATATTTTTAAAGACTTACACTCTCGTATTTCACTGGATTCTTGAGACTGACGAATATCTACATAGATCCATTAATGCTTCGAACCACTTAGCTTATATATTATGGTTAAAGCTATAAGCTTTATTGAGAAATAACAGTACAACCGTGTGTGGGGTAAAGGGACACTGGGAATAAGTACCCCATCTACATGACAGCAAGCATACTGGTCAATGGTTTGACAAAGAGAGGTGAGAATCCTCTCTCTAGGGGTGATACTGATCCCCTAGGCTGAAGAGAGGCCTGGCAAAGAGAGGTGAGAATCCTCCCACTAGTAGCACGTGATTCAGCGCGCCACACCCTCAATAAATCACTTTGATAATTTAGTGACAGCGGTTGAACAACTGTCACATGCACAATTTTCGCATTTTCTGACCGAAAAAAACAACAACACACACACAAGGAGGAAGGCGATGCATTAGTTTTATGCAAAGCAACTTATTTGCTATATACCAACTTCCGAAGTCCATTTTTTATTATGATTGGGCGAAAGGGTATCATGTGAACTTGAACAAGCTTCGATGTTTTCCCGGGTACCACTATTAGCGGGCAACAATATGTTGTTGGCCGGTAATGAAAATACTTTTTTCAAAATCAGATAGTCAATGAATAAATTGCTTCGTGTTCCTTGGCAATTGGTATATATCGAAACACTTATCACTGACCCCTCGACGGCGATGTTTTCCTTGGCTTCGCAGCCTCGAACTACAAAGCACCCTGTTTCCATCGATACCAGTCAATAAGTGTTAATCGTTGACCTTGTGGGACATAGCAACGGTAACTAATGGAGGCGGGACCAAGACTTAGTGCAGAAGAAACATACAATTTTAGAATCTCAATCTCAATCCACGGTACTCTATAAATATTGGTTTTATTCATTTTGTTTTCTTTGGCAGACAAAATTCCAAAATGTCAGAAAGAAAAGGCCGAGGAAAAAAAGAAGAAATCAGTTGAGCACTCCGTTGGAAGTCAATCAASTATAAGGTCAAAAAAGACCCATAACAAGGATGAGTTATTAAATGTAAAATAGAAACTTTTACACTTCAATTTGCAGATTTGTCAGTGAATGAAATAAACGAGGATAATTGAGTACATTTTGAAACTGGTTGCGAGGCAACGAGATCTACCAACAGTTTTTGATTGTCGATAAGATTTTTGTTGATGCCCAGTTCTATTAATCCTTTAATAAAAATTGTTAAACCTCTTGGTGTTCTGACCTCTGGGTCGTAAGGTAATAAAGCATAGTCATTGAGTTTCTTCATGCTGGTGACTTGAATTCTTCGTCGGTGATAAGTCATTTCTTCATGCATATAGTCCCCTTCACAGATCCCTTCGCCAACTTGAAAGGTAGCCGTGCCTTTGCATCGAAGCGAGACGAACGGTGAGCTTGCAATGATAGAGACATGCGAATAATTGTCCAAGTGTTAAAAAAGGTCTCTATCATTGCAAGCTCACCGTTTGTCTCGCTTCGATGCAAAGGCACGGCTACTGTTCAAGATGGCACAGGGAACTGTGAAAGGGACTATTCCAATATGAGATGTCCTTAGAGACGCCATACTCTGACAAAGTAAATTTAGAGCCCTCTCCTTAGATATACTTTTGGAAAGGTCTTGTATCATCTGCTCAATTTCATTTTCATCCAATGCAAAGGCTCCTCCTCCCTAGAAGTATCTGTGTCTAATCCATCTCGGCTTCTGAATCTTCAACATTTTTTCGCTTCATGATGAACACAGATTCTTAACAAGCCCACTATGAAAAACGTGAGATTACTAAGGACTATTTATACTTATAACGGCTTCAAGGCGCCCATCAGTGGTGATGTAATATCTTTCACGAATCAAATCCGCCGCCTTTTTGAGCCAGAAATATTTATAAAAAATTTTATGAACCATCCCTGTCAGGCCTGATCGAGCGTAAAAAAGCAAGTTCTGTGAAGTATGTTTAGAAATGTGGAGCCTAGATAGAGCAATATTGGAAAAGCCACTACGAAGGGCTTCAACTTTAAACTTCAATAGGTTTTTGTCTAGTTTGGTGAGTCTCTGGTGAAAAAGGGTTTGATTGTGCGTGTATGGTTAATCGAATCAGTCCTGGATCCCTTTATTTAAAGAAAAATCGGGCCTGATCAAAAGAACAGTTCCAAAGTTGAGCGTCAAAAGGTGACAAGCGTCTATTTAAGTTCATAATATGATGAAACCATTTTACACGGTCTACAAAATTTGAATAAAAGACTAACTTTAAAATCCATTATCGGTTTGCATTCAATTTAAGGAGTGTTTCACTTCAAAACAAGTCTGTTTGAATCAAGTCAAGTCTCAAAAACTCAAGCTCTGCTCAAGATTTTTTAAAGGGAAGCAAAATGCTAGGAAACAAACTAGTAGTGATGCTCCTCGTAATGTTGGTTGTGTGGATTGAAGCCATTCCTGTACCACAGGATGATAAACT